AATGGCTACGATTTCAACTTTAGTTTTTCCATTCAAAATCACCTTACCTGGTTTTTTGCTTAGTCAAACTTATTAATGCAAAGAGACTGCCACATGATGATGCAATGTTATTGTCATCATGTGACAAATGGCTACGATTTCAACTTTAGTTTTTCCATTCAAAATCACCTTACCTGGTTTTTTTGCTTAGTCAAACTTATTAATGCAAAGAGTATGCCACATGATGGTGCAATGTCATTGTCATCATGTGACAAATGGCTACGATTTCAACTTTAGTTTTTCCATTCAAAATCACCTTACCTGGTTTTTTTTGCTTAGTCAAACTTATTAATGCAAAGAGTATGCCACATGATGGTGCAATGTCATTGTCATCATGTGACAAATGGCTACGATTTCAACTTTAGTTTTTTAGTAGTAAAGTATTTCACATAACTCGCATGTAATTTTCTCGAAAGAAAATTAACATTTCCACTAAATAAAATTGTTTCTCAACTTATTTAAGTCTAAAATACATATGCACAATTCATTCAAAACCATATGCTTATCACTTTGTGAACCAGACAAATCTGCATATTCAGTTTGCTTTCATTACAACTTTACATTTATTTGACAATAACTTAACTTTTGGTTCATTTCATAGGCTGCTATAAACACCTTTTAGCTACTTTTTTTCTTTAGTATGGGTTTTATTCTTCATTTTTGTTTCTTTATTTCAACTCGTAAATCCGTGTCATACACTGAACGCTCATAACTGTTTCATACTCTGTACACTGTTATAAATACCACTACTATACTTTATTGTTTACATGAAGTTTTAAATAAAGTTATGGTTACATGAATTTGGTTGTCTGACTGCATAAACATTTTTCAAATAGACCAGGATTTATCAATCTAACACATAATCCATGCAAGAAAGTATAGCTTGTGGCATGTGTGAAAATGATAGAATAAGGAAAATTCAAGTGAAGGGGATTAAAATTACCTCAAATGTTTTGCAGGTCGTGGCTAGTAATATTATAATATGTCTATAGTAGTCTTCCTGTTACTGCTGAACTTGCCTTCTCACTCTTGAAAAAGTCACAAGCTGATTTTTTATTATTTCTTACTTTTATTACAGGTTAGTGATTTAAAAAGAACAAGGCAGTTGGCCTCTGAAATAACTACTAAAGGAGCTGCCTTGTATGACTTGCTTGCAAGAGAGCTTGATCTAAAGGTAAGTTAATTTTATTTGAGTGATGATATACACAGTGTGGTCACAAGGAAATAGACCTTTTCAGAAAAAAAATGAAAGTTTTCAGTCATATTCACATGAATTGTATATTTATAATTTAATTAATATGTAGTAGATCTTCATGGAGTTCGCTGATCCTTTGGGGCATCA